TCTGTTTTCCGGGACACCAGTACCACGATGCAGGTGGTTAGTGGCTCCAGCCCAGGCTACAGAGCTACTGTCTTCTCAACTACATCAAGGGTTCTGCTTCTGCTGTCAGATGGCTATAGCTCAGAGTTTCTCCACAGCAGCCACTACTGACAGTTTGGGCCAGATTGTTCTTTGTCATGGGTTGGGGGGAAGCTGTACTGTGCTTCTGGATATTTAACAACATACTGGGCTGCTATCCACAGATGCCAGTAGCACTGCCCACCCCGACACTGTGATAACCACAATGTCTCCAGACGTTGCCCAATGTCCCCTCGGGGGAAAGATCAGGCCGAGCTGTCACCCATGGCTGCTAATCATTGCCCCAGCCTCTGATCTCTTCTGTGTTCTTCCCTTGCTTGAACCGTTTTGCTGTTTGCACTTGTTCTTCCCAACACCTTTTTACCCACCAGTTTCCACTATAGGTCTGTTATTTCAATGTCTCGGCCTCAAATCCTTTCTTCCCTTTTATTCCTTTTCTCACTCACCTTTTTCCTCTTAAGACATAAATACTTCTATCATGTGTGTTGCCATATTCCTTTGCAGCGAAAGTAGAACTGTTTGCAGAAACTTGCAGCTCATTAGAGAGCTCCCCAAGGCCCGGGAAACACTGCAGCCTCAGGCTCGTCTTTGCTACGTTCATTTATTGATGAGCATTCAAGAATGGCTTTCTTCCCATGTAACTCTCAGTTGAAAGTTTATTATGGAAACATGAGGGTATTTGTGGGATGATTTTGCTCAACTATGGAATTTTCCCTCCATATGTAGGAATTTTAGAAAAACTTTATTTTTTTAATTTTGTTTTTATAGCAGTAACATTGGATTATAACTTATATAACTTCTTTCAGATGTACATCATAATACCTTTCGAATTCTCTGTAGATTATATCATGTTTACCAATCAAAGACTAATTATAATCCATCACCACACACATGTGCCTAAACACCCCTTTCCTCCTCCTCCCTCTCTCCTTCCCCTCTGGTAACCATCAATCCAATCTCTGTTGCTATGTGTGTGTTTGTCGTTGTTTTTATCTTCTACTTATGAGTGAGATCATACAGTATTTGACTTTCTCCCTCTGACTTATTTCACTTAGCATAATACCCTCAAGGTCCATCCATGTTGTCACAAATGGCTGGATTTCATCCTTTCTTATGGCTGAGTAGTATTCCATTGTGTATCTATACCACATCTTCTTTATCCATCCGTCCCCTGATGGGCACCTAGGTTGTTCCATGTCTTGGCTACTGTGAATAATGCTGCAATAAACATAGGGGTGTATGTATCTTTATGCATTTATGTTTTCAAGTTCTTTGGATAAACACCCAGCAGTGGAATAGCTGGATCATATGGCAGATCTCTTCTTAATTTTCTAAGGAAACTCCATTCTGCTTTCCATAGTGGCTGCACCAGTTGGCACTCCCACCAGCAGTGTGCGAGGATTCCCTTGCCCCCACATCCTCTCCAACACGTGTTGTTTCCTGTCTTGTTAATTATAGCCATTCTGACCAGAGTGAGGTGATATATCATTGCAGTTTTGATTTGCATTTCCCTGATAATTAATATGTTGAACATCTTTTCATGTGCCTGTTAGCCATCCGTATATCTTCTTTGGAGAAATCTCTATTCAGATCTTTTACTCATTTTTTAATTGGCTTGTTGGGTTTTTTCTTGCTGAGATGTATGAGTTCTTTGTATATTTTGGATATTAATCCTTTATCTGACATACAGTTTGCAAATATCTTCTCCCAATTGTTAGGTTGTCCTTTCCTTTCATTGATGGTTTCCTTTGCTGTGCAGAAGCTTTTTAATTTGATGTGGTCCCATTTGTTTACTTTATCTTTTGTTTCCCTTGCTCAGTCAGACATGATACATGAAAATATGCTAAGACCAATGTCAAAGAGCATGCTGCCTATGTTTTCTTCTAGAAATTTCATGGTTTCAGGTCTTACATTCAAGTCTTTAATCCATTTTGAGTTGACTGATGTTTGTGCACAGTGTAAGATGATGATCTACTTTCATTCTTTTGCATGTGGCTGTCCAGTTTTTCCAACACCATTTATTGAAGAGACTCTCCTTTCTCCATCGTATGTTCTTGGCTCCCTTGTCGAATATTAGCTGTCCATAAATGTGTGGGTTTATTTCTGGGCTCTTGATTCTGTTCCCTTGATCTGTGTGTCTGTTTTTGTGCCAGTGCTATGCTGTTTAGGTTACTCTAGCTTTGTAGTATATTTTGAAATCAGGGGGTGTGATACCTCCAGCTTTGTTCTTTTTCCTCAGGATTCCTTTGGGTATTCGGGGTCTTTTGCTGTTCCACATAAATTTTAGGATCCTTTGTTGTATTTCTGTCAAAAATGTTTTTGGAACTTTGATAGGGATGGCATTGAATCTATAGATTGCTTTAGGAAGTATGGACATTTTAACTATGTTAATTCATCCAATCCAACGGCACACGGAATCTTTCCATTTCTTTGTTTCTTCATTTTCTTTCAACAAAGTTTTAGAGTTTTCCGTGTACAGATCTTTCACTTCTTTGGTTAAGTTTACTCCTAGGTATTTTATTCCTTTTGTTGCAATTGTAAATGGGATTGTATTCTTAATTTCTCTTTTTGCTACTTCGTGGTTAGTGTATAGAAACCCAACCGATTTTTCTTACGTTGATTTTTTACCCTGCGACTTGACTGTATTCATTTATTATTTCTGAAAGTTTTTAGTGGATTCTTTAGGGTTTTCTATGTATAAAATCATGTTGCCTGCAAATATGGCCGTTTCACTTCTTATTTTCCAATTTGGATCCCTTCTATTTATTTTTCTTTCCTGATTACTCTGGCTAGGACTTCCAACACTATGTTATTAAATAAGAGTGGTGACAGTGGGCATCCTTGTCTGGTTCCTGTTCTTAGAGGGACAGCTTTCAGTTTTTCTCCATTGAGAATGATATTTGCTCTGCATTTGTCATATATGGCCTTTATTATGTTGAGGTATTTTCCTTCTATACCCACTTTATTTAGAGTTTTTATCATAAATGGATGCTGTGTCTTGTCAAATGCTTTCTCTGCATCTACTGAGATGATCACGTGATTTTTATTTCTCATTTTGTTAATGTAGTGTATCACACTGATTGATCTGCAGATGTTGAACCATCTGTGCATTCCTGGAATAAAACCCACTTGATCATGATATATTATCTTTTTAATGTATTGTTGTATTCAATTTGCTAGTATTTTGTTGAGGATTTTTGCATTGATGTTCATGGTGATATTGGCCTGTAATTTTCTTTTTTGTGTTGCCCTTCTTTGGTTTTGGTATCAGGATAACGTTGGCTTCATAGAATGACTTAGGAAGTCTCCCTCCTTTTCAATTTTTTGGAACAGTTTGAGAAGGATAAGTATTAAGTCTTCTTTGAATGTTTGGTAGAATTTACCAGGGAAGTCATCTGGTCCTGGACTTTTATTTTGGGGGAGGTTTTTGATTACTGTTTCAATCTCCTTCCTGCTGATGGGTCTATTCAAATTCTCTACTTCTTCTTGATCCAGTTTTGGAAGGTTGTATGACTCTAAGAATTTATCCATTTCTTCTAGATTATCTAATTTGTTGGCATACAGCTTGTCATAGTATTCTCTTAGAATCTTTTGTATTTCTGAGGTGTCTATTGTAATTTCTCTTCTGTCACTTCTGATTTTATTTGAGACTTTTCTCTTTTTTTCTTGGTGAGTCTAGCTAAAAGTTTGTCAATTTTGTTAATCTTTTGGTTAGTTTTTTAATTAATTTTTTCTGTTGTTTTTTTAGTCTCTATTTCATTTATTTCTGCTCTGATTTTTTTATTCCTTTCTTTCTGCTGATTTTGGGCTCTCTTTGTTCTTCTTTTTCCAGTTCCTTTAGGTGCACTGTTAGACTGTTTATTTGGGATTTTTCTTCTTTGTTGAGATAGGCCTGAATTGCTATAAACTTTCCTCTCAGAATCGCTTTTGCTGTATCCCATAAATTTTGGCATGTTGTATTTTCATTTTCATTTCTCCCTAGGTCTTTTTTTGGTTTCTCCTTTGATTTCTTCATTGACCCAATCATTGTTCAGTAGCATTTTTTTTCCATCTCCACATTTTTGCAGCTTTTCTGATTTTCTTCCTGTAGTTGATTTCTAGTTTCGTACCTTGATGGTCAGAAAAGATGCTTGGTATTATTTCGATCTTCTTAAATTTATTGAGACTTTTTTGTGGCCTAATATGTGATCAATCTTGGAGAATGTTCCATGTGCATTTGAAAAGAATGTGTATTCTGCAGTTTTTAGATGGAATGTTCTGTATATATCTACTAAGTCCATCTGGTCTAAAGTGTCATTTAAAGCCAGTGTTTCCTCATGAATCTTCTGTTTGGATGATCTATCCATTGATGTAAAGTGGAGTGTTAAAGTCTCCTACTGTTATTATGTTACTGTCTATTTCTCCTTTTAAGTCTGTTAATAGTTGCTTTATATATTTAGGTGTTCCTATGTTGGGTGCATAGATATTTACAAGCATTATATCTTCTTGTTGGATTGTTTCCTTTATCATTATGTAGTGCCCTTCTTTGTCTCTTGTTACAGTTTTTGTTTTAAAGACTATTTTGTCTGATATAAGTATTGCTTGCCCTGCTTTCATTTCTTTGCCATTTGCATGGAGTATCTATTTCCATCCTTTCACTTTGAGTTTATAAGTGTCCTGAGTTCTGAAGTGTGTCTCTTTTTTTCAGCATATATACCAGTCTTGGTTTTTTATCCCAAAAACATAATTTAAAAAATCACAAAAGAATGAAAACCACAACACTCTACATGACAAATTAAAAGCAGGATTAGAGGGATCATTATTCTGTCCTGTAATTTAGCCCAATTCATCAATGGTATTTCTTGGAGTATTATGATTAAAAGAACAAGAGCAAATATCTCTTCAATTTCATGAATTTATAACACACACATACACACACTAACCTGGCGAAATACTTCATTGACAAAATTGACATAACCTCGTGTTGACAAGAGAATCCGCTGCACCATTTCATACACGGTTCGGTGCTCTTCCTCAATGCTACAAAGGCTAGAGTTGCTGAGTCTTCGGTCAGACAAGGTGCTGCTGTTAGAATGGCTTTTGTCCTGCTCTGTGGGCCCGCCACCATCCATCTCCGGCGCCTTCTCTTGCCCCGCACCACCACTAACAGTCTGGAAGAAAGTCATTACCACTTCTGAGTAACCCTCTTTGACACTCAAGAACACCTACCAAAACTGAAGACTTGCTTTATTTTAAAGAACTCTTGTTTCCATCAACTTGACAACAAGCTGGAAACCAGCGCTACTCAAAGCACAAGGGGCTCCAGGATCTATATTTACCAATTTTACAGTTCACCAACTAACCCCTCCCTGACTCAGTTGTTTTAACAGGAAAACTACTAAATTATTGCAGGGAGGAAGGCTGTGAAGATTTATCAACCTGGAAAGTTTAATTTACATTTGTAGAATCACAGAATAGATTAATGTGTAAATGAATTTATATTATCATCACCTTTGGTCTCTACACTTCAGCACTTACTCTATGGTCACAAAGATTTGAAAACTTGGTGGATTTTTTGCAGCCACAATGTGGGAAGCATCATTTGATTCTTAAGACAAAGTGACACCTTGATGGAGGAATGCCAATATCTTTAAAGGGTATTTTATGAGAAGAACCTTGATCTGAGTTTTATATTCATAATCTCAGATCAAACTTAATATATTTATAAAACCTTAAATATTTAGAAGACTTTAACAACACAAAGAAATAAAATAATTCATGCAATGACTCACAAAGTTTAACACTGTTCTGCTCTCATTCCTCCATAGAATTAAAGGTTTCCACCAAACATAATACATGTATAATTATGCTTCATCTTTGTAAATTCTACTATTATTCTTTTAAGTGTCAAAAATATATACTCCAAATACCACTAAAACTCTACCCACGGTGAATATTTTGTACAAGAAGTGATAAGATATGAGTAATATAAAATAGTAATTTCAGCGACTACCAAAGACCATTTGAAAGCAAAGTAGATATCCAAATAGTAATCTCTGGGAAAATTAATGGAAGATTAAATTTATAGTAATTTTTCTCTTTCTGCCTTATCTATTAAGCCTGTGTGGCTTATCATGTCACACTGTGAGATGAGCTATCCTATAATAATTAGTTCATCTTTTTTTTTTTTAAAGACTTTATTTTTTCCTTTTTCTCCCCAAAGCCCCCCGGTACATAGTTGTGTATTCTTCATTGTGGGTTCTTCTAGTTGTGGCATGTGGGACGCTGCCTCAGCGTGGTCTGATGAGCAGTGCCATGTCCGCGCCCAGGATTCAAACTAACGAAACACTGGGCCGCCTGCAGCGGAGCGCGCGAACTTAACCACTCGGCCACGGGGCCAGCCCCTAAAATTAGTTCATCTTTTTGATGGATCAACTATCTTCCATAGAAAAATAAAATTTTACTCATTTTTACTGATACATGTTTTTTTCATCTGTAAAGCATGGAGGTTGGATTAAGCCTAACATCTTTTGCAGCTCAATAACCTGTGACTTTTTGATCAATAAGTCCTATCCATTTTCCCCACAGGTCAGAAAAGAAAAAAAAAACTCATGTACATACACACATATGTAGCAAATTAAAAATGGCCACAAATTCTTTGACACTCCTTCCCTAGAGAACCAAAATCTACATCCCCTCCCTTTGACCCACATGTACTGTGCAACTGTGTTAACCAGTAGAATAGAATGGAAGAGACCTGTATCAGTTTCAGGCCCAGGACCAAGAGGTAGACAGTTACCACTTCCTATCTCTTGGAAGATTTGCTCTTGGAGCCCTGAGCAGCCAGGAAAGAAGTCTACCTAGCCTGCTAGAGAGACGACATGGAAAGGGAGGCACAGTTGAGCCCAGCCTTCCAACTGCACCCACCAAAGTAAAAGGCATATGAATGAAGTCATCTTGGACCCTCCAGACCAACCAGTTGCCAGCTGAAGACTACCATCCATTGACTTCAGTTAGTGCCACAAGAGGCAAGAAAGGATTGTTGTTTTAAGCTACTGAGTTTTGAGGTCATTAGATAACTACTTAGATAACATAACAATTAGATAAAACTAAAATAATATACATAAAGAATGAAGTTTAAAGGCACCAAGTCATTCAAACAATGAGCTGTTATCCAAACAGAACATAGCAGTAGCATAGATGGATTTCTCATCATGCCATAAATTGAAAACTACTTCTCTTGATAAAAGGATGCTTTTCTTAGCCTCTCCTAGTCCACTCATCTACAAAAGGCTGCCTTCCAAAAACATCTATATGTTTTGACAGATACTGATAATTATAGCAAGTAATAAGAGTAAAAACAAACTGATAATCCAAGTCTACTCATTTCTTGTCTCTTTTACGAAGATTTATAGTACGAGCATGAATAAGAATTAACCACAGAAAGAGGTCCATTTTGCGCCCACTACATTCAAGCTGGAATTCTCAATGACTATTAGTATTAGTTGATTTCAGTGGTAAACGCAAAGATGACTTTCACTTCTTTGGTGTATGAAGCAACCTTAGTCAGTGAAACAGACATATCTGCTTGGACCAGGCCTGCGCTGCCGTGGCTCAGGAAATTGCATGATACAAACTGTCACTTAATCCTTCCCCTCTACCCTCCCTACCACCCTGGTTTCTTCTCAACCCACAGCTCACACTGAGACTTGTTCACCCTCAGGGTCAGGTTAAATGAGGAGATCCACAAAGCAGGTGTGAAACAAGAGGATGTAACTGTAACTCTGTTGGTGATGCCTAATGTCACTCAATCCCCCAGTGGTGACTCACCTACATTGTTGGGGGCAGCACACATTTGCCTTGGTAGAGCTTAAGAACACAGAGAGCACTACAGTGGTAATCAACAAACAAATGAGTGTGTACAATATACAAACTCCTGTAGGGTTGTCAATTTGTGTGATTCCCTTTTTCTAACTGTTCATCCCACAAAATACAATTTCAGGAAACCCACAGCCCATGAATCACTGAAGGGCTGGTTCAGAATTAGTAAAAGTGGTACTTTAATAATATAACTAAAGAGTTATTATGCAGGTAAATGTGATCAACTGTCTTAGCATCTCAAACTTTCTTTTCCATTCCCTAACGGACTTGAGTTTTAATGTTTAATTCATGTGCATACAGAACTGGTAAAAACAGTTACTGCTAAAATTTTTAAATCACCACTCTGCTTTCTCTAATGTACTATCTCATACAAAATGAATTACTAAGGAATAATACTTCACTGAAAACATTTTCATCTGAGGCACGAAGAATTTCTGCATCAGTGCAGATTTAAGAGGAGGACTGTTGTTGCCAACACAGTATGGGATGTATGAGCAGCTGTATTTTCATTCTCTCATGAATGACACCACTGAACAAGAAAATCTGTTAAACCAGATTGTCCAAGTGGTAAGTAAGCTAAGTCTAGAAGATGCACTAATTCCTTTTCTCCCTGGTGAAAAACATTGTCAAAGTTATTAGTTCTAGATCAAAAAGAAGTAAATTCACTTTGGAAAAAATACCTCATACATGACATTTAATGTAGTAATAGTGGCAAACGTGTGAACTCTATTTGGAAGCAGTACTTAAAAGACTGTTTTAAAGGGCTTTTATAAGAGCAGCATATTCCTTGAAAAGAGATTTTAGATTGCCTGACTTGGACAGTAATATTCACTTTACATGAGTAAAATTACACTAAATTTGAAACTTCAAACAAAAACTTTCAGAAGACAAATGCAATTATATGTGCTTTTTATTCCTGTAACTCCATTTCCAAAATTTAATATTCAATTGTTTAAATTGCTGCTTTTTCTCACATACAATGTAAATGAAGAGTAGAACATAGGAGAGACATGAGATGAGGTGGGAAACACAGCAGCAAGGCAGAGAAAGGAATACAGGAAACAACTGGTTCACTGAATAATGACTGCCCCCAAAGATGTCCCTGCCCCAGTCCCAGAACCTTTGACTATGTTACCTTACCTGGCAAAAGGATCTTAGGAGGTGTGGTTAAGTTAAAGGTGTTGAGATGGGAAAATTATCCTGGTTTATCTGGGTGGCCCCCGTGTAATCACAAGGATCTGTAAGGAGGCAGGAGGATCAGACCCAGAGAAGGTGATGTGAAGATGGCAACAGGGAAAAAAGGTGATATGATGATGGGCCATGAACAAAGGAATGCAGCCTCTAGAAGCTGGACAAGGCAAGAAAACAAATTCTCCTCTAGAGCCTCCAGAAGGAACACAAACCTGCCCACACTTTGATTTTATCCAACTGAGACTGATTTTGGACTTCTGAGTTCCAGAACTGCAAGATAATAAATTTGTGTTGTTTCAAGCCACTAAGTTTGTGACAACTTGCTACAGTGGCAATAGGGAACTAATACAACAACAGTCTCTACAATGGCAGTGGCCATTTCTAGGTGCAGCCACCTGCAGGGCATGGTAGCAGTGGGCACAGATGGTTGTCTGCCTAGCATCCATGCCCCCTCCCTAACAAAACGCCAGTGCTCCTCGTACCTGACTCACAGGAAGCTGACGCCATCCAAGTACCAGGGGAGCATTCTGTTTCATGGTAGCCAATCACAGCCCTCCTCTGCCATTCAAATAGCCAGCTGTAAGCCAATCAGTGCCTTGTTACTGTTCTAGGAGGGGCCAAGTAACCTAAATTCTTCCACTCAGACAAAAGGGAAGGCCTTCATATTTCAGATTGTCTCTGTAATTGAACAAAAATAACAGTGCCCCAGCTGCTGGCAGCCATCTTGTAATCATGGGGGAATCGAAGATAAACCAGCCAGAGGGAAAAGGGCAGAGAAGAGAAGATTGCGAAGAATCATAGAGCATGAGTGAACCATATTCTCAGCCACCCTCATCATGAGCTTCTTTCATGAGATTAAAATATTTCTTTTATATTTAAGAAAGCTGGAGTTCTGGGATCTTTTTTTTCTGTTAAGATAATAGAACCATCCTAATTGATTCAGGAGGTCAGGCCCTTATGACACTGAAAAAGCTAGATAATGAAAGTAGATGACTCACAAGTGTGAAGAGTCAACTACAGGAAAAAATTAGAACCTTAAAGCAGTGGTTAATTTGCTATTCTTGCTACTTATCATCATCTAAACATATTTTTCAAGAATGAGCAACTTATTTTCAATAAATCCAGGTGACGGTTTTCTGAAATTTTGAAACCAGGTAGGAAAAAGTTACATCCTTTAAATAGACTGTTTTGAATTGACTGAACAATCACACGAAATGTAATGTAAAGTTTATCAAAGAGTGTGACTGAATGTCTTATATATAATTTCATGCAAGTGTTTGCGTGATGATTTTTAGTTTTTGTCTACCTGGTGCATGAATAAAGGTCTCTCATCATGCTTCAGAACTGTGTTTCCCTGACTGCTGGTGAAATCGGGGGCATTTTTATTTCCTCTTCTGTGAACTTCCCTTTCATCTCCTTTGTCCATTTTTCAACTGGGTTGTCTTCTTATCAATTTTTAGGCACTCTTTACAGCACGAATATGAACTCTTTTAACAGCCATGATGTTACAAATGCTTTTCGCAGTCTATTGCGTGGGTGTGGCTTTATGCTATCTTTTTGACACGTAAGTATTCTTCTATTTTTTTAAATAAAGCTGAATCTCATTTCTTCTATGGCTTCTGGGTCTTATCTCTACCTAAGTTGGTCTCCCACTTCCCAAATTTATACATTCCCCTAGATTTTCTCCTAAGTTCTTCATATTTTTGTTTTTATATTTAGACATTAAATAAATTTAGACCTTAAATCTATCTGGCATTGGTTTATGTATGTAAAATGAAGCAAGGTTCTGAGAAAGAGAGAGACAGACAGACAGGTTCTTTCAGCTTTCAGGGCTATAAATTAGATTAGATATTCAATGCTAATCTCAGTCTCACTCCCTTGAAGGAACCTCTGGTTTCTGTCTGGAAGTCTGTATAATTTTTCCTTAATCCCTGAAAGTCAAATGTCTGTTTAAGTTTGTGTCTGTTTAGCTAATTCTTCCTGGGACTCAAAAACCTCTTCAGTCTAAGGCATCACCTTTTTTCAGCTCAGGTTAACTATTCTTTTTATTAGTTCAATTACTACTTCTCATTCTTTTCTTCTTCTGCCCTCACAATATTTGTAAGTCTGGACCTATCCTCCAGTCTTATTTATTAATTCCTGATTTCCACCTCTTTGAATTTTTGCTCAGTGTTGTGGGATATTTCTTCAGAAAACCAATTTTGTTCTCAGCAGTGATCATTACCTTTTCCAGGTCACCTACTAAATTTTTAAATTAAGACACTTAAGGTTTTAAACTTTCTTTCAGCAAGTGTTTTGTTCTTACTGCAATTCTATCTCCCTCAGACTTCTTTGAAAATAAGTTCCTCCGGTTCTTCAGTCAATTCTTGTCAATGGAGCCACGTGCTCCTCCTTCAAGGTACTAACTACCCCTCAGGTGTGTGTACTCTCAGCTAGGGCCAAGGTCACACTTCTGGAAACTCCAGGAATCAGCAAACCTGCACTAAGTGGCCCATACTTCCTATGCCTGCTCTTGGGAACAACATAAAAAGCACACAAAACCACAACCCCTCTGTGCAGTGTCTGCTCTCTGGCTTCCACAAGTGGTCCCGCTCTACCCAGCGCAAAGTCCCGCAGCAACTCAGCCTGCTGGGAAAGCCCAATTTGTGTCTAACCAAGGCCAGCCATAGAGAGAAGGCACCACAGGCCCCATAAAGAAGAGGTCTTCACCAAAGGCCTTGAGGAGAGGCAGCCTTCTCTTCCAGGGACCCCCATCATGGCTCAACAACCACCCTGAAACCCTGAGCTGCTAATCCACTCCTTCCCTTGAGATCCAGAGGGCACCTGACAGTCTCACAGGTGCTCTCTATGGCCCACTTGCATGATTCCTGAGGGCATTCCAGGTGCTGGGAACTGGCGAAGGTAAAATAGGTCCCTGGTCTTATGCTCAAAGGTGACTGGTACTTGAGTGAAGGAGAGAAAATGAGAGGAGGCCAGGAGTGTGCACACAACAGCCATCTTCTCAGAACGCCTCCCTCGCCACAAGATTGCCTCATCGTGGCAATGCCAAGAGAGCACAGCAAGTGCCTGTAACTCACAGCTTCCTCTGAAACCTCAGCATTACACAGCACACCAATAAAATCAAGTCCCTATAACCAACAACCTGTAAAAACCCAATAACCCTAATAATCAATTTCTCTGGTATGTGTTAGTGTGTTATTACAAAAGTATTAGGAGATAAAAAGATGATGAGTGACATACCTGTATGATTTTAGGCAACACATCAACTCCATTTTTAGTGTTTTGTGTTGTAGTTAGATACTTTTTTTCCAAAAAGAAAGTTACAATCCACTTAATAAAAACAACCCGAGCTGCCATGTATGGAATTTTTGTACTGTAAATGTTTTCATTGTCTCGAGTTGTAGTAACGTACACTGGCTTTGGTCTCAAATGGGGGATGTCTGGAAGAAAAAAGAACACATGATTAGGTTAGTGGATCTTAACATTATATAGCCCCTATAAATGTTTCAGTTTCCAATTAAATAGACATATATTTGGTTGTTTAAATAGCAACTAAGATTAAAGAACCAGAAAGGATTAAAAGTGGCATCTTGTGGTCGACTCATTTCTGGTTCCACCTTGCGATCTGACCAAGACGAGGTAGTGGTAATAGTGACTGTTCACTTACAACTATGATATATAGCTGTGGAAAAACTAAGCTGATCTTTTTAACAAATTTGAGAAATTACATGTGACTGTAATAGTGAAAATCTTTTTACATGTTAAAACTAATTTAATCTTACTTTATGACTGGAACAAATGTAAAAGCATGCATAGACATTTTCATCATTTTAGGCATTTTAACATCCAACACTACACTAATCAAATCCTTTTCCCTTTAAATGAATCCAAAGAAACAGAATCAGTATAATCTACTTCATGTCTGAAAGAATTCAGAAAGTCATATTTCATCTTTGAGGTGTCGGACACCACAATTTTCAAAGAATTAATAGGAGGTCCATTTCTCATTCTTTAAATTCCATAATCAATATGACAATTCTATGGCATTGGATTTGAGATACTACTTGCTGTAAGTCCAACTCTCTTACTAATTTTTCTACACCTGTAGGTAGCTGCATGTACCTGCAGAAAAATTCTCAGCAAATAACTTTTAATTTCAGAATATTAACAATATACTATGTTTCCTACAATGAATATAGACTACTTATGCAATCAGAATTTTTTAAAAAAATACCCACAGAGATATAGCTAACAAAATACATATCCAGTACCCCCACAAGTCAGCACTTCCACATCTTTCAGAGTGCACTGGGCTTCCATGGTTTTCCCCTTGCCCAAGCGTGTGGGTACAAACACACACCCAGAGACGACTGAATTAGTTGTCTACATTCCCCAGATGGATTAACATCTGTTGTGACCTTTTCCCCTCCAAAATAGTTCTTGATTATTCATTTTAACTAATTTAACCTGCTTCAAAATAACAAGGACAGGAAGATTTGCCCCCCCACCTCCACAAATCTAAGGAATGCTTCTGTCTTATGAGTCTTCATTGCTTATAGAAGGAAAACTTTAGGAGCTAAATTGGAAATTCTCTGATGTTTCTTTCCCCTCTGGGGCTTACTGTCCCTGGGTTACCCAATTGCCCAAACATCTGTCCTTTCATAAGCAGCTGTAAGTAGAACCTGCTGGATAAAAGATCCAATATAAAAGTAAGGGCTTACTGTGTGCAGCTATGCGGCCTGGGCTGGCCTGCCTGGCCAATGAGCAAGGTCTGGGGTCACCATATCCCACCACTCTAAGAGAGGACTTAAGGAAATGCAAGCTTATTTTTGACATTAAAAGATTTTAGGGGCCGGCCCCATGGCCGAGTGGTTAAGTTCACGTGCTCTGCTTCGGCGGCCCAGGGTTTCACCAGTTCGAATCCTGGGCTCGGACATGGCACCGCTAATCAAGCCATGCTGAGGTGGCATCCCACATGCCACAACTAGAAGGACCCACAACTAAAATAATACACAACTATGTACCGGGGGACTTTGGGAGAAAAAAGGAAAAATAAAATCTTTAAAAAAAAAACGATTTTAAATATAATTACACCAAAGAATCATAATACATTTCAAATTATTTCTAAGTATAGGAGCCACAGTTTCTCCTTATTGCTGTGAGCTGAGGTACATCTTAGTTTGTACAAATAGTTAAAATCATTTATTAGAAAACCTTAAACCTCTTACAATAAAGTTATCTTTAAATATAGGAATAAAATGACTATTTTACTTTCAGAATACAAAGGTCTCTCTGAAAGAGACTGTACAGCCTCCCTATGGACATCCTTTATACATGGCTCAATCAGTACTTACCAAGCACAGGTTTGTAGATGTTTGTTAACTTAGTAAATGATGGAAATAAATGAGGAAGATAATACTTTCGAAACAATGTAAAAAGAAATTTAAAACCAGTATCTTGATTCTCCTTATTCTTCCACTCCAAGCTTGCAGCCTTTGGATAATAAGTGGAGAAGAACACATGTATATTTACATTTCAAATTAATGTATACTAAACTGAAATGCTCTTATACTATTAAAATTCCTATCCTAAATAAAAAACTTTATAACATTGACAATCATGTAACGAAATCATAGCTTAAAACTCAAAAGATGATGAGAATGAATACTTTAAAACAAAATGGTAACTATGTTAAAAACAGCATTTTTACTGAGTATTAAAAAAAAATGACCCAGTGACGGCATATCTTTTGAACTTGCTCTACTGCATCACGCCCACATTTCTTCCCACACGTTCTGTGTAATGATGTCACATTCCTTGTGCCTTAAAATGTTTAGTTAGATGTAATCAGATGCTTTTATTTTTTTAAACTCAAAAAAGGCCATTTATAACAAGCAGGAATTACGGAAACAACCCCTAGCAAGGATTTCATCCAATGTTACCTACATGCAAAATCAATATCAAAAGGCAAAGCTATGGAACCTTGTAAAGCGCATTTTCCTCATTAAAAGCAATCCACAGGCTAAGATAAACCAAGCCTGCCAGTCCAGCTACACCTGTTAGTGGTTCTTAATACTTGCTAGACCCCAGAGCACTCTAAAGCAAACTTCCCAATTCCTTCATGATACAGCCCACTTAGAAAATGATGACATTTGTGCAGCACCTGAGGTAAAGGGACGAGGGGCTTTGGCCGCCCCTGCGGCAGAGGGGCTCAGTGTCTGCAACCTGTCAGAAGTTCTCCAGGGTGAGCCAAGAGAGAAACTCTGCTCTGAGGACTCACCTCAGCAGACAGGTGAGGGAAGGACAGAAGGATGGACACGCACGTACAATTCTGTACACAATTTAGGTGATTCACAGTCTGCATTAAAACCTCTACCCTCTATCAATGGCATCCTTCTTCTACTGGAATCCTGGAGATTACGTGTCTTATCCAAGGTCACACAGCTTATTAGTGACACATCTAGAATAAACACCCAAGTCCCCCAACACATCCAAGTTCTAGATACTCTATGCTGATCTCCTGGGACAGATGGAATGCTCTACCACTTCTGGACAAATAAAATTTGAGATGCACATAGAACGGGCCGATAGAGCTAAAATGGGGGCTTCCAGAAGACAACAGAATACCCCAGTCAGCTCTCAGGATTTTAGAGTCCTTGTGTTTCTGGTGCTGGCTAACGGAACCAGGGGAGAGAAGAGCAGAAGAGATCACCCGGACAGAGCAGTGAAAAAGGGAAGCCAAGGACTGAATCCTAAGGGACAGCAGAGAGAAACACTGTCCCCTAAAGAAAACTGAAAAGAATAAAAGAAAGGGAGGAGAAAAGCCAGAAAAAAATATCACGGGAGGAGAGAATCTCATGAAGGAGGGGCAGTCACTGTCAAACCAGCTGACAGATTCAATACAGCAGAAAGTGAAGCATGTCCTTCCCCTGGACGTGACCACCAGATCCCCTTCACGGTCTTGGGCCTCCTTCTTAGCAGTGACAGGCAGGTAACAGTGAGTGTCAAAGGAACACCAGGTGAGGAAGTGCACTTGGCAGAGATTATTATGTCAACAAACTTGGCTGTGAAGGGGAGGACAGAGACTGGACTCTTCCCAGGAGGAACTAAGGGATGAGAGAAGTGTTTGCTAAGAGAGATGAATTCAGTAGCATTTTTTTGAACCATATTATGCTCAGAAATATAGACCAAGAGACATAAATCACCTAAGGAAATCATAAACCAATGATTTTAGTTCTGTATTCCCGTGCGCCCCTCTTCTGCATCCCCCTGCAGACTTCTGAATTGAAGTGGGCCAGGGCTGGGGGTGGAAACAGGAGCTTTCATTCTAAAATAAGTTCAGAGATTGTATTATTCCAGTTGGTAAATACAATAGAAAGGAATACGTAACACAAAGCAGGCCTCTGCTGATGGCACGATGAAATAATTACACATACTTTTGTTCAAACCTCCCTGCCTGCCCTGCCTATTCCTGAGCCACCCTTTCAACCTCTGGGCCTGCCTCCTTCTCCGTCCTGTCTCGCAGGCATAGAGATCAGGGTTAGGGAAGCAATAAGGAGGCAAAAATAGTTTCATACACTATGAGATAATAGAAAATATACATATTGGTCTCTCCCCCCGGTTCCTGGCATAGAGCCCTAAAACCCCTGTAAATCCCTAAGTGACAAGAGCATTAGGAGCATCTTTTGTTCTAATGAGGTGACTCTGAATGGGTTCCTGGATGGGGCTGGTCACCAGAAAGACCAAGCCATGATAAGAAGTTGGAATTTTCAGCACCCCTCCAGTTTCTCCAGATAGGGGTGAGGGGCTGGAAATGGAGTTAATTGGTAATGCCTACGTGAGGAAGCCTCCATCAAATCTCAATAGCAGAGGTTTCAGGGAGCTCTCAGGTGGGTGATGCACCCCAATTCCATGAGGACAGAAGCTCCTGCACTCGGGACCCTCCCAGACCTCGCCCTATGTATCTCTTCATCTGGCTGCTCATTAGTATCCTTTATCATATACTATCATATCCTCTAATAAACTGGTAAATGTAATGTTTCCCTGAGTTCTGTGAGCTGCTCTAGCAAATTAATCCAATCTGAGGAGGGAGTCATGGGAAACTCTGATTTGTAACCAAGTCTAATAACAGAAGTTGTGAGTAACCTAGGACCTGCTACTTGCAATTGGCATCTGAATGGGGTGGGAACAGTCTTATGGGACTGAGCCCTTAACTTGTGGGATCTGATGCTATCTCCAGATAGACAGTGTCAGAATTGAGTTAAACGGTATAACACCCAGCTGGTATCACAGAGATTTGCTTGGTGTTGGGAAAAAAAACCCATGCATTTCCTGACTAGAAGCGTCAGAAGTGAAGTGTTCTTGTGAATGTGGTAATAATATGAAAGTAAAGGATACACCCAGATGGAGAACTGAATTTTTTCCTTTATATACACACTCACACAAAACAGTATGTATGCCCGGCCTTTGCTGAAGTGACCTGGCACATACTCTATGATTAGTGAAACATCACACAAAACAACCTCAAAAAAAAGCAAAAAAACAAAATATGAACAAATGGGAAGAAAAGAGGCAGGTTTTCTTTTTCCTACCGAGAATAAGACTATCATTGAATTATCTACAATTTTGCTCTTACCTGAATAACCATATATTTCAACAGTATTTGAAGAAAAAAGCACGTTTGGTCCTCAGCAATCTTTTCCCCTGATACGGCTGGCAGGAGTGGAGTAATTTCTTCTGGATATATCTTTGCTGCAGAGTGGAAAACAATGAGAGCTCTCTCGGCAAAGTTAAATTTTAAATGGGGTTTTAAAAAAAAAAGAGGCCTCTATTAAAATGCATCTACCCATCCATTGGAACTCCTCAGAATGAACTCCAAGCCAGTGTACACGAAGGGCTTGGAAAAATGGTACAGATGCCCACAAAGCCACCTCTCCCACTGGACCATTTTCACTGCTTTCAAATTCCACCTCAGTCAGCCTAAGATCAAATATCTGTCAGTGGGCAATAAAGTGATGAGCAGCAATCAATCAATGGCCCTAACAGGCAAGTTCCTTGAAAACTCACAGGACACAAATGGCTGCCATTAATAGTCCCATGAGGCCACTACTGTCCTTCCATGAATGCTGCATGAAAATACACAGCTGGCAACAAAGAGCCTGTGAGAACACTTACATCCACTTATGAAACAACAGTGATGAGGACAACAGACAGAAGTTTTGGATAGCAAATTTAAATCACCACAAAAGCATTCCAGACATACCATGTGTTTCTACTTTCTGCTATTGCCAACATTTATCTCCTCCTTTCCATTCCTGTTCCTATCACTTCAGTAAATTTCTCCTGTCATCATTTCATATAAAATAGGCTCCAAGTCTTTTCAATTCTAATGTTTCTAAGAATCTACTGTGAATAGAAATAGGGAATAATTCCTCTTCAGAACCTATCTATGAAATCAAGAATTCTATTCAGGAAAATGACAAACCAAGGAATTCTTCAATGTAACTCGAAGAGTTATTTCAGCCTGTAAGATGGTTAACATTACTCACCATCAGCCGCACTAGGGCTAGGATTGATGAGTGTCTCCAGCGTGCAGGGCCCTCTAGATGACATGATCGCTGGGAAACCAGGCACGAGGCAAGCAAAAATCAGCACCTGCTCTTCGGCACAGTTTGTCTGAAGTGCTTGAAGCCACAAAAGAAACAGTCTGATTCCTTCACATCTTATCTAAAAATAAAATTAAAGGTAATGAAATTAAATACTTACGTGTATTTGTAGAAATGCATTGCAACTTAGCATCAGTTCTGAGAAAGAAAAACTAGAAGTTAAAGGCATTGTTAAAGTATCGCACCAAGTTTTTCACTTAGTGACAAGTAAGCAAGGATGCTGCAATGCAGCACAAGAGTTAAGAGCTTGGGTTCTGGAGCCAGAGAGCCTGGGTTCAAATGCAGGTTCTGCCACTTTCTAGCTTAGCTGTGACCCATGGAGAACCACTTAACTTCTCTGTGCCTTAGTCTCCCTATCTGTAAAATAGGGATAATAACAGAATTTACGACAAAGTTCTGGTGTAGGATTAAGTGAGTTAAAACAGTGCCTGACTCATGCTAAGCGCTACATATTTCCTATTAATAGTATTTTATTCCATCGGGCAACAGTGCCCATATCATCAATGCTCAATTATCCATGAAAACAATGCAAGGATAATCCGCCTCCGAATTTACACTATGCTTTGTATCACGTTCTTGAAAATCAGAACACCTGGAGCTAAATAAGACCATGAAGACCTGGCTCACTGGGATAGGGCAGCTCTCAGCTTCCCTGCCTTATGTCTCTACTCTCTCCAACATCGTCACTGTGCTCCGAATGGTCGGCATCCCCTGGTAGAAAACATTCCGATAGGCAGATGTGTTATTTTTCCTCTTCTACATTTACTTTCAACTTCATCCCATTCCTAGAATTCATAAACACAGGTACTTCCATTTCTATATTCCTAAATGGCTGAAAAGATAATGTCAATAAAGGAAGTTAAATAAGCAAAAGAGATGAAAAACCGTCAGATGCGGCTGAAAGATGTAGAAAGCTCCAAATGTAGGCAATTGACGGACTGCCTGATAGCTTTTCAATTACACCCAGGTGGTGCGGATTCCTCCAGAGCAAGTGTTCAAGCCAAACACTCTGCAAGGAAAGGCTCTGCAAGGCTCTGCAGGAAAGCCAAGAGAGGCAAAAAAAAAAAAGAAAGAAAGAAAAGAAAAAAAAGTTTGGCTGACTCCCCACAGAAGTCAATTACACCAAGATAGACACCCTGTCTGGTGACAGTGCTTCCTCATGTGGATTATACAGTGCACTTTCAGACATGCTGTGGACTCACCATTGCTCTGCATAAACCTCCACACCCACTGACACTGTCCTCCTCTCCCCAAGCAGGGAAAATAACTACTGGGGTGGACAGAATTAGGCACGTTAGCTTTCAAGCTGAGAGAGGAACCGGTTCAACCTCTTCCCTTTTCCGATAATGGAACAGGAGCAGTTAGCACCTTGCCCGTGGTTCCTGAGCTGTACACAGCAGAATCAAAATGACAACTCAGAACTCCAAACTCCAAACTCTAAACCCAAGCCGCTTTCTCCTAACAATATTTAAAATGTCTATCACAATAAGTTACAATACAAGAATAAAAACTCTAACAATATTTGTCATACAATATCTCTATTAAAAATAAAAAACTAAGTGATTTTTACAGTTTTTTTCCAAAATGGTCTAATTTTGTCACTTTATGGCATTAATAAATTAAAGGGTAATGAAAAAATGCCATTACATTTTCTTTTAAAATAAATACCTTAATAGAATTTCCAGTGTGTAGAAGCTTCTTTAAAGTTGAGCCTGAAAATTTAAAACAATGAATTAGAAATGGAGTATATGAAAGCATATTTAAGATCTATTTTTAAAAGATCAGTTTTACAAAGAAAAAGTGTACTTGTGAAAAAACATATAATTTTTAAAAAATAAAAGGAAGAAAGCTGACCTTCAGAAGCAAAGCAATGTCATAGAGGGAGAGACATATTTAAGATAAAAGTACTTTAAGTATGAACCTCTTCAAAATTCTTTTAAAAGAGTCAAAATGATTGATATTAAGGTAAGCCAAATGCCCACAGTGGATTATGTGCACATATCTCTTGTCAAGCATAAAATGAATGATTTTTAAAATCTCTAAAAGTAAAAATAATATAAAACCACCACTCATAAAACACTTTTACAAGAACATTTTACAAATATTCCGGACATCACGTTTCTCTCCTTGCAATGACGACCACATTTATGGGTTCGGTCCATCAATAAATCACCTAGCAGAGCACTCTGGTCACTTGTCAAGGAGAGGGAATCGAGGTTTACTCAAAACTACACCAGCCAACTGCAAAAACTGGTGGTGTGTCCCACTGCACTGAGGAAAGTCTCTCTTCTGAGGATGGAAACATAGTACCTATTACTCTATAAGTGTGTTCATGCCCTTAATATGGAGATGGCTTGGCAACCCCACCTAAATATCATATGCAGACTCTAAACGGGATCTTAACTTCAAGAAAGGGAAGTAATCTTTGAAATAAAAATATATTGAAAGTCTTAAGCAAGAAAATCTTTTCTCCCAATCAAATTTTGAGGAAAAAAGTTATTAGATCTCCTGATGCAAAGTTTTGTGCAATTTTTAAAAACTGAATATCACATCACATTTACTCCACCAACCTATTTCAAAGACATGTTGCACCAAGAAATAGAGGCAGTGTCTCAACGATTGCTACAGGTCACATCTATGTCGACAGATACATGCATGTCAGTTAAATGCATACATTTTAGGAATTCATTAGCCAGAACAAAATCACTGGTTACCTGAAGGAACCTTTTCTAACTGCTGTACTGTTTATAATACCTAACACGGGGGCTCAGTGGAAATTCACCATTGTCATGACTAGGTTACAGCATTAACACATTACTGGTTTGCTGAGTAAGGAAGTTAAAGTGCCCTCTTCCCTCTTCTTCTCCAGTCACCAAACCACGCCCAGTATTTTTTGGTCTAGAGTCAGTATTTAGCAGGCTGGGCTCTCTCATAGCTAAGGTTCAAGTGCCTGTGCTCAAGGACTGTTTTATCCCACACCTTTCTTCAACTTAGGGTCTTGCCCCTTGTCTCCACATTCATCCATTCTTGGAAAAAGTCCATTCTGCCTCAGCTCAGTATTTGCTTCCTTAGGCCTATGTGGACCTCATGACGCTTGGCAGGGCCAACAGACACTTCACCTCCCAGGAGACTCGGGATAAAGTCTACACAGACAGTTCTCCTCCCAAACATCTGGCAAATCCATCATCTTGCAACATATTCTGGGGAACACTTTCTCCTGATCACTGGGTGCGACTGCTGAGGCTTGTCAGTCTTTCCCCTTCTTGGAATGGGTCCAACATTTTTAACTTTTAACCTACCCATAGTTGTCTATACCAACTCTTCCCTACACAGGGAGGAGAAAAATACACAGAAAAAGAATAGACTTTAGAAAAAGACATACAGAACCTATGTCCCGTATCTGTCAAGAATCCCCAACTTTTTGAAATTAATCTGGTAATTTGCTACAGCAGCAATAGAAAACTAATACATATATATTTGATCTATTCCATTCTCTTGTACTCAGAAACTCTTGTACATGTGAAGCAGTACAGTTTAGCAGTTATAAGCCAGATTTGGGAGGCAGACTGCTAGGGTTCAAATCTAGGTTCTGTGTTTACTGAGTAATCTGGGTCAGTTACTTAATTTCACCACATCTGAGTTTTCTCCTCTGTAAAATGGGATAATACCAGTGTCTACCATAGAGAATTGTAATGAGGTTTAAATGAGTTAATATATATAAATGCTTAGAACAGTGTCTGGTACATGGAAAGCACATTTTCCTCAGAAGATAGGACATCAACTATTCTCTAAGGAACTCTTTTTAAACAAGAACAATACTGGAAAGAAAAATTTGTGCAGTGGGGGTACATAGCAGAGGGTTTCAACATGAGAACTGGTGAGAAGTACCTGAGAGCCTTGCCTGGCCACTTCGGGTATTCCCTAAGACCTTAAGTTCACAAAGATATTTCTACTCTAACTTTACCATTATGAAATCCTTTTCATTTTAATCTCAGAAATTTCTCTATATATATCATTCCTGTTTGGATTTTTAAACTCTTCATCCAAACTATGATCATACCCACCCCATCTCTTTTATGTGCCTCTTCAACCCTACTGGTTGTCATTACATTTACTCAAGTGAAAAAAATAAATAAACTAGTAAATAAAATCTAATTCGTTGGACTGATTCTATGAAACTCTAACTTCTATTGGCTAACTTTTATTGTATTTTAACAATAAATATCCTTTGAACATAAATCTTACTACTTTGTTTTTTTTTTAAAGATTTTATTTTTTCCTTTTTCTCCCCAAAGCCCCCCGGTACGTAGTTGTATATTCTTCGTTGTGGGTCCTTCTACTTGTAGCATGTGGGACGCTGCCTCAGCGTGGTTTGATGAGCAGTGCCATGTCCGCGCCCAGGATTCAAACCAACGAAACACTGGGCCACCTGCAGCGGAGCGCGAGAACTTAACCACTCGGCCACGGGGCCAGCCCCATAAATCTTACTACTTTTGAGGCGGCAGTAAGACTACCAGGACAGGAACTAGGATGAGAAGAGGGAGGGCTCTGCACAAAATTTAAGAGGGCACCAAAAAACTCAGTAATCAAATAATATTTTAACGCAATAGCTTTTAAAAAACAAACAAAAAAAAATCAGTGCAAAAAACCCATGATGAACAATATTAAAATTTTAAGTAAGTACCAGTGTTGAGCTGAGCCACACTGGAGCCTGAGGTAAAAGGAAAAATGTGTATCCCTATCTATATGGTTTCATGTCTTTTTATCTTTCCAGAACATTAAAGTAGTTGAAAAAATATTAAAAAATTTAAAGGCTCAATACTGAAAAGTCAAAAGGTATTAAAACTCACATTAGTCTAAACATTTTATTTGTAACACAGAGTATATTATAATTTTATTTTCCTGGATTTAATGGAAGCAAATTCATCAATATTTTAAAAATCTACTTCTTTGTTTATCTCCTTTTTCAATTGTGAGAAGTGCCATGCTTGACAATTTCTCCTGATGAAGTAGCAATCTTTTAAAGATATTTTGAAGGCCATAAGTTCACAAAGATATTTCAAATCTAACTTTCACATTATAAAACTGTATTTAATTCTTTGAAAGCTCCCTTTGTGTATCATGCCTCGAATCAATTAACAAGCAATGGCAGAACACCACCAGGGAAGGGGCAGGAACACAGAGACCCTCTGGGCTGGTGGGGTGCAAGGTCTGCTCAAAGCTGCCGGGGAACAGGAGCACAGAACTTTCCGCACTGCCACATCTACACTAAGCATGTGAAATAAACAAAAAATTTCTCAAAATGGATCAAGCACCTAAATAGAACTTCTAGAAAAAAAGACAGGTGAAGATCACTGTGATCCTGAGTGGCAAAATTTCCTTAGACAGGACACCAAATGCATAATCCATAAACGAAAAACTGTTAAATTGGGCTTTATTAAAATTAAAAATTTTGACTCTCTGAAGAACACTATTAAGGAAATGAAAAGACAAGCCAGAGATGGGAAGAAAATATTTCCAATTCATATATCTCATAAAGCACTTATATCTGGAACATGAAAAGAACTCTCAAAATTCAATATTTAGAAAACAACTCAATTTAAAAAAACAGGCAATAGATTATCACATACACTTCACCAAAGATATACAGATGGCAAATAGCACATGAAAAGATGCTCAAGATCATTAGTCATTAGAGAAATGCAAATTAAAACCACAATGAGATACCACTACCACTAAAATAAAAGGGCTGATCATACTAACCATTGACAAGAATGTGGAGTACCTGGAACCTTCACACTGCTGGTAGGAATGTAAAATGGTGCAACCACTTTGGAAAAGAGTCTGGCATTTAAACATATGCCTGTGTATGATTCAGCCACTCCATTCTCAAGAGATACGAAAGTGCATGTTCATACAGACTTGTACACAAATGTTTACAGTAGCTTTATATGTAGCGAAATACTAGAAACCACTCAAATGCCTATCAAGTGAAGAGATAAACTATGGTATATCCATACAATAGAATACTGTACAACTCAGAAATAAAAAAGAATGAACTATTAACATATCCACCAATACAGATGAATCTCAAACTAATTATATTGAGTGAAAAAAACAAACAAAAAAGAGTATACACTGCACGATTCTATTTCTGTAAAACTCTAGAAAATCAAACAAATCTATAGTGACAAAAAGCAGATCAGTGGTTGCCTGGGGACTGGGGGGTGAGTTGGGGAAGAGTGGGAAAGGAACAAGAGAAAACTTGTGGGAGTGACGGCTATGTTCATTATCTTGATTGTACAGGTGTATACCTATGTTGAAATTTAGCAAAATGTACATTTTAAACATGTACAGTTTATTGTATGTCAATTATACTCTAAAAAAATTGTTTTTTTAACAAAAGAATAATAGAGCAGGTGGCCTGGCAGTGACTGAGTTCAACATCAGAGGGATGGAGGTTATGGTCTGAGGTCTGCATGATGATGAGGATCCAGAAGAGAAGTCAGGAAATCACAGAGGGTGAGGGGGTCAAGGGGCTGATGGGTAACTTGGTATGAAAGAAAAGGACTGGGAGAGGGTTCAGCCATTTAAAAAAAAAGAAAAAAAGCAAGTAAGCAGGAGATCAGAGACACGGCAGCAACAAGGAGGGATAAGGTGGCATAGTCTAGGAAGAGAGATTTCCACTGAGGGGGTGGTCAATGATGTCTAGAATTGACCTTGGAGGAAAAAAAAAGGACGACGATCTTATCCCCATACCCCTGAGAGAGAAGAGGAGCCTCAAAGAAAACCCAGGTTTTAGTAGCCAAGGAGACGAAGGCAAGAGGCAGAAATTGTAGGGCTGTTGCTTAACTCAAGAAGAGGTCTTTCAGAGGGCAGAGCACAAAGAAGGGGGAAGGAGGGGAAAAAACACAGAGCAATGATGGTGAAAGCACCCCAGAGAGGACTCTGGGAAGACACCAAGTGAGCTGAAGGGGCACTAGGCCAAGCCACCCCTGGTGGACACAGACACATGCAGGGTCACTGGATTTAGCTCAGCCTGGCTGTGATGTCCCTCTGAAGGGGTCTTAGTGTGAAGTGGATGGGGAGACCTGCTTCCTCAGGAAGAGTGGACTGTGGGGCGGCCTGACTGTGAGGGCCCCAGGGAGGGCTGTCAGACAAGCTCCTGAGGAAAGCTTAGAGCCCAGGGAGCAGTATAATGAGAAACGAGGCTGCTCCGAGTTTGCTCAGAGGATGCATTACATCCCAGGCAATGTGAGGCCACTGAAGAGCCGAAGGCATAAAGCCAGGGACACTCTTAAAAAGTCATAAACAAATCTACAGTGTAGTTATGCACTTAGTTTTTATACTATGTATAAGAAAAAGCTAGTTGAGCAAACTAGATTTAATAATGACATATATAAAAACACATATGAACAATACTGTATTCTGTATTCAGCACTGTACACTGAATGGGACAGGAAATCTGCTTTCTAGAGGCTTGTGAGCAGGAAACCTTCTTAAAGCAAACACACATGTAACTTGAGTCCTGTACTGATAACACATGGGCACAAGAAAGGGTGCCACTGACTGCCCTTGCACCAAATTTCCCGGTTTGCTCATGTGCCATTCGTCATCTCCTCACTCCCTGTCAGTTCTCATTATCGCAAAGAGATAAGACTTCAAGCGGCCACCTTCATCCACCATGACTGACTGGCCTAAAAATCACTTTAAGAATAGTTTGACAAACCAATTTTTTCCATTTTAATCAACAATGGAAATTTACAAATAGTTGAGTAGCTGGTTAGTATACATTACAGAGTCATGAGTGTTGTGTCAGCCACTTCCCTGATCTTCTTACTCTCCAAACATCACTTGAAGCAGTATCTCTAGATGCTTGGAATAATGAACCAGTATTCACTTCACATGGCAAAACTTAGAGTTCAAATACGCTTCCTCATTCAATGATTTGTATCAAGGAGCCAGGATTAAAAACCTTAAACAAAGAGAAACGTACAGACTATTTTTTTCCCTCTAAAAACAGTTTTAAGAGAAATAGAGTATCTCTCTTTGCTACAAACAAAACAAGTTGACATGATAAGAAACAGACTTCAAACACTGGCAGTTGCTGTTTCAAGTTATTTTCTTCCTTCTCAGGATAAACGTGGCTATCAGGTAGGTCTGAGAGCTGTTAAGACTAGCAGAATACAGGAGTTGCTCTGATGTTAGGTTTCTACGCCTACTAACACTGTCATCTGTAGTGCAGGACAGGAAGCACACTGAATCAGTGGCGGCAAACCAAGCTTCAAGATTCTAACCCGATATTTCAGAGTACCTTGGCCACTAGCAGCTGCAATAACATTCAATTACTAAGTTTATCCAGCAGTGTTGTTCCTATTGGGTAAGGAATACTAGATGTCTAGACTGTAAAAAGCCTAAAGTGAGGAATATTAGATACCTGGAATGTCAGGTACTGACTAGTAAAAAGCTTCCTGCCTTAGTCTCAGAGGCTTTTCAGAAGATGCCAATGTTAGAGAGATATTTAAGGCACATTCCTTTCCTTTGAAATCTAGTGTTTCCTTATAGTTTCTTAGCTTCTACAACTAACTTGGACAAGACCTTGAGTGACAAACGGTAACAGTTTTCACAAATCCAAATAAACTGGGAAGAATGCAAGAATACATGCAGTGAAGCACGTAAAAAAAATGTGTAGAATTACAAATCCATAATCCCTTATCAGCAATTTCAAAACCCAAAAACCCATGAAAACTGAAGCTTCTTTTGTGTAATTCCTTAGTGGACAGGACCTCACCTGATCTGAACTCACGTGGCAGCAACACCTGACTAACCTGACTGAGGCTATTTGGGGTTTAGTTATCGCACTGATGATGAATACTCACATCTTAGGCTACAGAAATAAGAACTCTCTGGGTTACAGGGTACCGCCCAGACCCCTAGGCTGTTACCTACGGACGTGATATCATCACGCTAATGGTCGTTGTATATCAACACACCACACTGCCTTTCTAAAATATGAGAAATTCTGATTCCAAAGCACATCAAGCCTGAAGATGACCATAAAAGAGATGTGGATCTGTACAAACACCAACTTCTATCCAGTTTGACAAATCATGCAAAAATACGCTTATCCTAAAACAGCTTTACTTGCTTATTTGATTCAAGCATTAAGTATATAAGCATCAATAATAAGGATGATTTTATAGCAAACGCCATACTTCAGCATTATGAAATATGACTCATTCCGACCATGCTTAAAGCCAGTTTATTCTACGCACAGATAAACAACACCAGCTCTTACGATGGCTCAGGAGACCTAGCACTCTGTAATCCCAATCCAAGAGTCACTGTGCTCAGGAAGACACTATTAAACTGGGTAAAAAGCTCCTTATGTTTTTACTTTAATTTAAATACACAAGGCCAAAGCATCAATTAAGCAGAAATGCTATTGACAACTCTCTAAAATTTAAAGGAAAATTTTCTTTATGTGTTTGAAAGATCTAACGACCAAGGCACCATCTTAAAGTAAGATTTATTCATTCATTTCAATAGATGTATTTCCTATATATACTTTATTTTCTTTACATTTATAACATATAACAAAATAATTCAGTTTATATAAGGGTCAGTTACATTCTCCACATAAATAATCCTAAATTAAATTTAAGTTTCTGAATTTTGGAATATCCACTGAATCTGCCATGTTCTTTCAGGTTCCATGTCTTTTTTTTTAATTAATTAATTTATTTATTTATTTATTTATTTATTTTTGAGGAAGATTAGCCCTGAGGTAACATCTGCTGCCAATCCTCCTCTTTTTGCTGAGGAAGACCAGCCCTGAGCACACATCCATGCCCATCTTTCCCTACTTTATATGTGGGATGCCTGCCACAGCATGGCGTGCCAAGCGGTGCGTAGGTCTGCGCCCGGGATCCGAACTGGCGAACCCCGGGCCACCAAAGCAGAATGGGTGAACTTAACTGCTATGCCATGGGGCCGGCCCCTCCATGTCTTTTACACATTGATCTCCCACCTAGAAAGAACTTTCCACACTTTCCATACTTATCTTTCAAGGTTCAGATCGAAATTACCTCTCTTGAACCCTTCCTCAATTCCTCTGAATAGAATTATTGAACTTTTCTTCTTTGCAACCATTACACTTCTTTCACAGCGCCAATTATACTGTAATTACTTTTTCTCACCTCTCACTAGGCAATCAACGTATACAATACAAGCTACTGAGAGATTCTTTGCTTTTGCCCCAGAACTTTGCACACGAATGTCTCTCCCTCAATAAATATTTGAATGAATGAATGATCAAATAGTTAAGATTCCAGTATAAGGTTATGCTCTCCTCAAATATGACCATCCGGCAAGGAAGAAAATATGATCATAAAAAAGATAAACTGGTAAAAAAGAAAAATTGTAGGAAATATCAGAGTCTTCTAAGGTAGAAAGATTAAGCCAAGCATTCTTCAAACAGACAAGAGAATACATAATCAACACCACAAATTATGCCAGTTGTGCTGTGAATATTAAATTGAGATGAAATGCTATTCGACGTCAAAATGCAGACAGAAAAGGCAGCCATGGTAACTTGCTTTATTTCAAGTTTCCTTTTGCTGCCGCATTCTAAAGCATTGGTCCTACATCAATGTTTCTCAAACTTATTGTGAAAATGTTAAAAATGCAGACCATGATGTGGCAGGCCCGGCCGGGGCCTCAGACTCTGCATTTTCCAACAAGCTCTCAGCTGAGGCTGATGCTGCTGGTCTATAAACTACACCTTAAGTAGCACTTTCAGAGCGAGAGAGAGACACCATCTTTTCCTCCACAGTCCAGGTTGGACTTGTCTCAGTTTTAATTAGCATACCCTTGCTATAACCTATCTTCATGGGTTTAATCACATAAAACATTACTGAAGATTCAACTGGAAGAAATCCATATTACTTAAAAATTTTTTTAATTGTTCTTACCTATACTCTGGTAATGCCATCGAAAGAAAATTCGTTCAGGTAGAAACTGCAGTATCTTCTATAAAACAAAAGAAAATCAATAATACATAAAGAGAACATAAAGTACAAATGAAATTACACATTTTCATGATAGCCCCATACAACTTGCTATATACATATTTTAGAAGTAAAAAGAAAAACTCTTTGTAATAATATAAATACTGTACTTTATCCTGTACCCCATAGGACAGTTTTTACTTGCCCCAGATAAGCTTCCTTCTCTGAATGTTTTATAGAGACTACTGTTCCAAGTTTAACTCATCATAAAAGAAAACAAGAAAAAAAAACTACAATGATAATTTTATCTTAATTAAATCTAGCCATTACTTAAACATTAAAAGAATAACTTCTCAAATGCCAGATTCCTCAGGTTTCTTCTTTTTCACTTTCCATTTCCCATTTCACTTTCCACTTCCATTCCTACTTCCCAAACACACTTACACACACACACAATGTGCACAGGTGAGACAAATCCCATTTAGTGAAAACATACTAGATATCAAGCCTGGCATGTGAAATGTAGAAATAAAATAAATATGAATAAAACAGTTAGTTCTTACTTCCAAGGGTTGAATGATTAATGGGCAAGAGAGACGGTAAAGGAACTATCTCCCAGTGGCGCAGCAGTTAAGTGCACACGTTCCACTGCGGCGGCCTGAGGTTCGCCGGTTCGGATCCCAGGTGCGTATATGGCACCGCTTGGCATGCCATGCTGTGGTAGGCATCCCACATATAAAGCAGAGGAAGATGGGCATGGATGTTAGCTCAGGGCCAGTCTTCCTCAGCAAAAAAAGGAGGCCTAGCAGCAGTTAGCTCAGGGCTAATCTTCCTCCAAAAAAGAAAAGAAAATATCATCCAGGAAAAAAAAAGCCTGACAGAAGTTTGTCTGAGGTGCTACAGAGGTGAGGGGGAAAGCACCTTATCTCAGTAGGGTCTTCATGGAATGCTTCCTGAAAAAGAGGAAGCTTGAGCTGAGACTTATAGGATTAATTAAATTAGCCTAGCACAGAACAGAAGCAGAAGGAAGAGCATGTGTGAAGGCCAAGAGGCAAAGACAGCCTGGTGCCTTAAAGGAACAGCAGCATCAAGAGGGTCCACTTGGCTGGGAGGTGGATGAGGAGGGGAGGAGATGGGACTGGAGAGGCAGGGGAGGCCGCAGGTTGATGTTCTCACGGAGCAGTTGCAGTCTCTGAACAGGTTCCAGCTGGAGGTAAATGTAAGATGGCTGAGAAGAGAGGCAGAGCTATCGAGAAGAGGCGATGATAGTACTCCAGATAAGGAATAAAATGGCCTGGACCAAGATCAGCAAGGGAAAGAGGAAAAGCATATGACAATGATATTCAGGAGGTAAAACTGTCGAGATGGGTGGGTGGAGCAGTTGTGGTAAACGGATGACTCAAGAATGACTCCCCAATGGCTTAGTAGATGGTGATACCTTTATCTAAGGCATGAAGTCCAGAAAGAATCTCAGAATTGAAGCGTATCAAGTTTCGTTCTGGACATCCAGGAATTTGAGGTGTCAATGGACTAAGTAGAGATGTTCTTCTAGGCAAGTGGATTTATTGGTGTAGAGTGCAGGACCAGGATTTGGATGGTAACAGAATACAGGTAGCAGCTGAAGATGTGTGTATATGAGATCCCTCTGGGGAAGAGCTTAAAATGAGAAAATGAGATGAAACCCTAGAGATATCAGTGCACTGAGGTTCCCCTAAGAAGGTAGAGCAGAAGCCAGAGAAAAGCGTGCACAGGTCAAAGGAGAAACTTGTGATGCGATACTTTTGCTGTTTAGATGTTTATTTCTTTTAAAGATTAGAAATACTTACGACTATTTACATGTACAACTAGTTACAAAAAGTTAAAGATGGTGGAAAATGTGGGAAAACTGATGCCACGTAACAAAGTGACTTCAGTTACCCAGATATTTGTGGATGTAACCCACAACCTTTGTCAGTCAGACACCAAACGCCAGGCAGGATGGATTCACCTATAAATTGTGCAGAGGCAAGTGGCTCTTTGCGGGGAAAAAATCAAAACAGGTCTTCACCTTGCAATATACACTAACATGAAGTTTAGATGGACAACACACAAAAGGAACTAAGTGTAAAAACTGGGTTATATTTAAGCTCCAGTACATTAAAAGGGAATCAGCAGTTAAAAAGAAAGTTCTTTATAGAATATTTTAATAAGAACCCACACAAGCACTGTCCTACCAACAGAATGTAAACCTGAACATCCCCATGAGCTGTAGAAGATGACAAAGACAGGGGTAAGATCCCAGAGAGCTGTCCAGAGATTATGGGAAAACATCACAAGCCAGGAGATTAGCACAAGAAAACCAATGACTGAACTGATAATAAGGATGAGGGTCTCAGTAGTCAGGCTGCTGCCAAGCCAAATAAGCAACCCTAGAGCCCAGAACAAGCATAGTCAGGGGGTGGGCTGGGAGGTCTCCAAGCTAAAGAGAGAAAGACAGCCTCCATTTGCACCTAGTTTTCCGATTCTTTAGTTCCAAGTTCAGTATGTTTGATAACAAATGAACAATGATAGTTGAAGGGTGAGTTCTCTGGGAAACAGACACTGTGGTGGAGTTAGGAGTGCCAATGTTTTACTGGACAGTAACATCTGTGAAAGTGAAATGAGGAAGCAGGACTGGGCAGGGAGAATCAGACCATCACACAGAGCTGACAAATCTCTGCCAGCCTAGCAGAAGTTCTGGAGTAAACACAGCCCATTAGAGGAGCCCCAAGAGGCTGAAGATGGTCAGGCCCTCATACTAGTGCCTTGCTCAGGCATTGGCTGAATACAATGGAAGAGCATGACCAAGGCTAGAAAGCTGAAGGCCTTAACAGCTGGAGGGTGCCAGCTAACCCCATTCCTTGCAACTAGGCAGCAAATTCTTTCTTGAAAGAGGATGTAAGCAGTACATCTCTATGTCTCCCACAATAATCTTCAATCACTAATTAGAATACTCTCATCATATTAAGAGGCTGATGTACTGGGGGAAGTGTACCCTACTTTAGGGACATAGCCTCTGCTGGCATTGTTTCTCATCAGTTGGCTGCAGCCTCACGATGATAGAAGCCTGGGCCCACTGAGTCCTTCCCATATGTTTTCTGCCTCCTTCCACGCAGTTCACTATTTCTGAGTGAATAACTGTAACTTGGTATCCTACTTTCTCATGCATTTTCCTCCAAGGGGACTTGGCAACCCAGGTATGTTCCAGGATCATATTCTGATCCCATCTTGCCACTTAATTTTAAAACGTCATATAGAAGGTGCTGAGAAAATTACTCTAAAGATCAGGATACATCTTATCTTGCACTAGATGAATGCCTGGCATGCCCACTGTTCTTCAGATCTTTACTTTAGTCAGGAAACCAATTTGACACTGAATCACACTTTTCAGCTTTCAAAAATACTTATCAGTCTTAGGTTTAGTAGGTTTACTTATCGGATTTAGGTTTCTTTTCTTAGTAGGCAACAAAGAAAAATGTCTTTTTAATATAATGAAAAATAAAGAATATAGCACAATGGTGTGTATCTAGATGCTTGGATACTGTTGGTTGGCCACAAGTAGTTTCCACCTTGTTCTGAGGGCACGCCTATCATTATCACCACTTCTGGATAAAAGTCTTCAGATTTACAAAATGGATGGACTTTAAAGACACTCAAAAGAAAAATTCAATAATGTTTGGATATGAAACGCCATGCCCAATGTCTGAGCTACTAAAACTATTCCCAAACAGACAGAATCTTACACAACAATTCAAAGACTAAAACATCACCCACATTGATGCTTCTTTTCACACCTAAATATTTCAAGGGCCATTTTTTATGCATTAAAGTCTATGTAGTCAATAAAAATAAAGCCCCACACAACCATCTGTGTCTAAATGCTAAGCCTGTCCATCAGAAAGTCCCAGATGAAGCCTATCTTTTCTGAGGCAAATACAATACAGCCAATAGTCTAAGCTACACTACTGTGAATGCCACATAAGCTATTGACATCTTGTTTGTAGTTTCACTGGAGAGTAAAACCAAAAAAATTTTTCAGGAAAGCCACACAGTGTGAATAAATATTACTTTTCTGAAAAACACATGGCTCTGTTTAATGCTCAGTACTCGGCTGCATCTATATGGTAATCCATTATAGCACATGAAATCGAAATTAGGTATTACTACTGATCAGCACATCAGGGAATCTGTCATTCTTGTAACTGATTATCCATAGTTCTTTTTTCTTCAGAACCGACTACATGACCAGGAATAATGTGAAAAGTAAGCTGGAGTTTATACAAGATGCTACACTGTACTTTAAAACTGCTGATCTTCGTTTAATTTGTATGGGAAACATTTTCTTTTCAAATTATTAGCAGATGATTGCAACATATCCCAGTAGATTCACAACTGATTTCAATTCCACTGAGAAAGGTAGTACAGTGAAGAATGAGAAAAATATATACCAACTCATGTAATGTAATCTACTAAAACAATGGCCAACTAAACCTGTTACATCCAAAACAGAGAACGTGAGGAGCAACTCTCCCTGACACTAGCTGCATGACAAAGAGCACTAGGTAAAGAAAACGTTGACCACAAAGAACATACAAAGTTTGGTTTAAAAGAATAGAAGTCTTAGTTACTTGACCTCTTGAGTAATAAATGTTCAAAAACTCATGATGAGAACTGGGCAGTTAGGTTTAAAGGAGATGTTCTGTGAATGGCTGTGCCACAAGGACAGACTGGTTTCAGAAGGACCAATGTGAGAAGAAGCCCAGGAGCATGGACACTTCCAGGGAGACCCATGGAGAGGGCAACTCGTTATTCAACTGTCTTGTCCATTCATCTCTTTAAAAATGACTAGACTTTCTGACGTGGACAAAATGTTTTCATTGAACTCTGAGTGTCAACGCTTGCTTGGAACCTTAAAATTTAAGAGAAGGAGAGCAAAAATAAGGAACTACATAATCTTAAAAAATAAGATCACTACATTTTTAGCTAAAAAAGTAATGCTTTTCT